ATACAAAATATGTTCATTTAAATAATTGACATGTTGAGTGTCTTGCCAATTTTGGATCACCGATGGTCCATGTTATTGCATTCATTATATATATTATTTTTCTATATAGGTAGTAGTATACCACCTAGTAAATTGAAAACGTATCACCATGCCGTGTGGGCTGTCGGTACCCGTGGTATAACACTATACATAATAATTACATATCACTTCAATGATATTATGAAACATTTCGTGTTAATGTTTCTTTTTATACGAAATTACTAAACGGTCTGAATGAAAGTCTAACGTGGCTTACGATGACTCACGCGGCACTAAACGAGTTAACTAAAGATAATCATCTTATGAAAAACTTGCTAAATATGTAAGGACTATTTTTGTGATAACTAAAATGACTGATTATATTATCACATGCAAATATGAAGTTGAAAGTCATTGACTATATAATTCAATAAATAATAATAACTTATTATTATTCTTTATTATTCTTAATAACTGTACTTTTACAAATTTGTACATAACATGCAGATTTGTTTACAGTTTCATATATTTCTTACTAAGTCTAGTGTATATGATATAATACATTACATTACATTTGTTATATACAGCAATATTTTTATTACAGCTGAAAAGTAATAGTGATAAGCATTTGTAAGTTTACAATCATAAGTAAGTGTTGCACTTAAAAGTTGTGTGGAGTTAAATTTTTATATAAGAATGCATGATCAGAATTTATTAGCACAAATACTTTTAATGGCTAAAATAAATATAATAGCAAGTGTGGATTTCTTATTAGTTATTAGTTAATTAAAATAATGAATTGTTTGGATAACACTAAACAATTACTACAAAGTGTATGAAATTTACGTTTGTATTATGTTTCTATTAATGACTGAGTGTGTGACTATAGTAGTGCTGTGTAATTGTATTATTAAAAATACGACTAAAGAAACGCAAAAACTGTTTGTAACATTACGTGTTTCATCAACAAGTTTATCATGGGATATTTAACAATTTAACACATTCTACAAAAATTAAATGTTTATTTTTATTTATTTATTAAGATTTGAAAAATTTCGTAATTTACAAAAGTTACATTGTGCTGTAATAACTATTTTTGTTACAGAAAAGTCATAAGTTATGATATCACAGATTGATGGAAAAATTGTCCTGCTTTCCAAACATACATATGTCTGTTCTTGCATGTTATACATGAAACAAGAAAGAAGTCTAATAAAATAGTGATTCATGTATGGTAATTCAATATTCTCAGATGAAGTAAAAACATCTCTTATGATATTATAAGTTTCTTTTTAATTTAATCCACCTTCCTTAACATTCAAAACATCACCTTATAGTAGGACAGTGTGCTTTACAGTGTACTAAAAAACATATATGTTAAACGTTAAATATGTTTTCTCTATAAAAGATTTTATAAACATACCTATAAATTCTGACACAAGATCATTATCGCTATCACCACGCATTGTTCCTGTAATTTCTTCATCTTCTACCATAGGCAGAAATAAATGAATGAATTCAGTAGTATATGGTGGAGCTATAGCTTCTAAAACCTAATATAAATATACTTTGGCTTTGTTAAACATGTTATATATGCACATAATAGTTAAAAAAAAATAACAATATATACATAATATATAATTACAATACCTCTGTAACGAAATATCTAATTAAAGATACATCAGTATCTCCACGTTGCCAACATTGTTTGATGTAACATACTACAGGTACAACACAACCTCTACTTAATAAATTAACCATTCTATCAATTAACATTTTCTTCATTTCCAACTGTAGATTAAAGAAAATATGTAATTAGTACTTATTTATCCACAACTAACAAATATGAAGTTATTAAAGACATAGTTTACCATTTTTTCTTTCAAAGAAGTAAAATAAGGTGTATGTTTTATAAATTGTAGAACAAATTATCGAATATAAGTTGTTGTGCAATAAAACAATATACTTTAAAATACTGTTATAAAAAAAAATATCTTGAAATAATAATCATATGCATGATATAAAATAAATAAAACTTTTGAATTTCTTTATAAGTTTGGTATAGTACAAAATGTTTTATGTATAATGAGGATAATTTTTTTTAACAAATATATATAATTTGCATGCAAAATTAATTGGATATTTTAGTATTTGTTATATACAGGGAGAGTTACTCAAGATTAAAACTTAAAATACCTCTGTTGATTTAACAGTATAAAAACACGTGTCAAAAAGAAAGTATTTGTTTCAAAAGATCAAATATTGTGACAAAGATTTTTTTCTCAGGATCATACTTTCCAAAATTTCAAGGTCATTAAACTTTTTTAAGTGGAGTGACTATAATATTGTAGCCGATAGAAAAGCTTCATTAGAAGATTCATTACTATAATACTGTAGCCAATAGAAAAGCAAATTTGCCCATGTATAATATGATGATCATCAGGTGACCTTTTGTGAAGTAATTCTTATAATACTATAATTCAATGTATACAGGTAGAGTATACATGTTAATGTAAATGTAAATAAATACACCTATTACAGAATGTACTAAACATTATGACCGTAGATGTTTAAACATTTTTTGTAATCTAATCACCAAAGGATGTTGCACATCACTTAAAATCTCTGGGCTAATATTCCAAAATTCTTCCGTAACACGTCGACGCATATTCTTAACAGTCGTTGGTGTAGGTCATTTGAAGGTCAACATATTACAGGTGAATAAATTTTTTTTTATCGGCTAAAATATAGTAATGAAAATATACCATTCCATTAAAAAAAATTTTTTTTAATGACCTTGAAATCTTTGAAAATGACTGAAGAAAAGGTTTTTATTACAATATTTGTTTCTTTGAAACAAATACTTTCCTTTTAATATATGGAGATAGCAAAGGAGATATTTTAAGTTCTAATCTTAGATGATTCACCCTGTATATAATTAGTATCAAAACATTTGTTCTTGAAATTATAATAACACATTTAACATTTTGTTTTGTTAAATATAAAGTATTCTTACCTGCACAAGTATTTCCAATTCATCTTGTTTACTTTCAAATAACTGTACAAGGAGTTGTAGTACTTTTGGATGCAATAAAGAATGGCAAACTACAACTTCATCAAGTAATGCAAGATGTACAGGGCAATGTTCTGTACACAATTTGAAATATGATGGTTCTGTAACAGTACACTCAACCCATCTAATTATACCCACACTTACAACAGGAAATCTAAGTAAAAGAAGTATATCATAAATTTTGCTATAAACAATGATAATATAATAATGCAATGTGAACATCAATATCATTTATAAATTATACCTTATACATTGATATAAAGTATGTAATTCAGCTATTAATTCAGTAGATCCCTTATTAATATTACAAATATTGTGAACTTTTTCTATAGCTTGAATAGTCGTTTTTAGTTCATCTTTATTTAATTTTCGGGAATGTCCTTTTTTAGCTGGAATATCACATACACTAGCTGCATAAGCTAATAAATATATGTATTTGGATTTATGTTCGGGATTAATTTTTACACCTGGTTTAAAAAGAGCATCAACCAATAGTTCTGAAATTAATAAATTATAATTTTGTAGACATTACCATAATTTTAAGAATAGTCAATTGCATCACTATACATAAATATAGATTAATACCTAAAAGTAATAATTTCGAAATAATACACTAATATCAGCAGGATTTAAAGTATTTCGCGATAACATAGATGCCAGTGCCTGACATGCACTGGGACTACTTGAAGCTCCATTAAGTGCCATGGTTATTGGAGTAACATCATGGTGACTATAAGTATACACATACATGTTAAAAAGTATGTACACCGTTGGATCATACTGAACACATGTTAAATGATCGCGTTAATTAAATGGAAGTTTTCAACATAATTCAAGTGACACTTCGCATCACCTTCGCATCGTAGCCAATACTCGGAATGAATAGATGGTGCTGACATTCTTATTACAATTATGAAAAATAAAATCTTTATAACTTTTATTCTATCTAAATGAAAGGTTTCTTAATAACTAGAAACATATTTCTAATAAGAATGATCTCAAACATGATCTAAACAACAATATATTTAATCATTATGTTTTCGAATGACATAAGTTCAATTCGGCATAGAAATAATAGTATGGAAAATAATGTCGATATTTGTTTATTATACTATTTAAAAAGGAAATCTAATTCAATTCTTACAGTTAAGTTCATGGGTTTGATGCAAGAAGATTATTATTTTTAGTATATTGTATTTTCACTTGTTCCCCATTAATAAAGCTGATTGTTCATTCTAAATATTTTATTTTGAAGATTTATGATTAAAAAAAATTGTTTGCTACCTTTACTAAGGATTTTTAATAATGAACTTGTACTGTTTGATTCAAGATACTACAACTCATAGTTGAGCTTGCTTTTATCCCTCTTATCTTGAAACCTCTCTTATACAGAGACAAAGATTGAGAAATTTTTATCCTTTGTATAAAAAAATGATTATTCGTTAAAGAACGGCAATATGCCCTAACTGTGAAATGTGCTTTTTCAATCATTTTTATTCTCCATCACTACTATGTTCTAGAAATAAAGCTGACTTGAGTATAAACGATTGCTGGAAGAGAAATTTGCCAAGGGTTTTATTAGGCAGTACCAATCCTGAACTGTATTCAATCAAACATGCCTTTACTTTTTATAGTTGATAAAATACAAAAAACTTTTTCTTACTTTTGTTGAGCACATTTAGTAATTTCCTGGGAAAGCCTTTTCATCATAAAACCACCACGAGATTCTTGAGCAAGGATTTGCAATAACACTTGACTGTAGACATAAGTGTGTTGTCCATGACATACCATTTTCTAATAACAAAACCATTATGTATAAACACTATAATGCTCTGAATATTTTATATGAAATATTTTATGACCTAAATTTTGGAAAAAAAAAAAAAGACAATGTATCTGTATCCTATTTTTAATTTCGACTTCATTAATTTTTTATTTTACACACATGTAAAAGTAAGTAAAAAGTGTAGGTCAAAACTTTTGCATAAGATTTTATATTTAAGGTAATCAAATTTAAAAATTCACATATACACCAAATACACACTGTTACTTACTTATTCTTGTATTCATAAATATTATTAATTTCATGTATATTTTACATTGAAAATTCATTATATACATATATTTCTTTTTTTAAATATTAGCAGTACTAACCGCACATTCTTGTATACTTGACTGCCAATCTTCAGTATTTTGCAAAAATCCAGCAATTGCCGTTTTTAAAACTCGTGAAAATACTTCAATTTGTTGTGCAGCTGTTGAAATACTTGTGATTTCACCTTGAAATCCAGCATCAGATATAAGCTATCAAACATGGAAAGAAAAATAAAATTTAAACGCAAATTTTTTTGTAATATATATCAAATTATTGTATTTAATTTTATATCACTTTGTTATATCGTCTATTAAAAAAAATGAATTGATTATTTTCGTTTATAGATAACTTATGATAACACTTTGTATACCAGCTCGAGTTCAGCTGTTCAATGCGTCAGTGCCGGCAGTGATACAGTATGTAGAATGTTAATTATTCAAACTAATGGGGAAACAAATCGGTTTCGAATAAAACGGTTTTCCGAACAATCAATCTAGAATAACTGAACTTGTAAATATGTGATAAAACAACAAAAAATAAAATAATTTTGAGAGGTACATGCTTAAGTCTAATATTTGTGTGATATTAAACTGAGACAAATTGTGACGTACTATAATGATAATTGTAATGATGAACTCTAGACAAAGTCTTCTAGACTTTGTTTTTATATACAAATTATTGTGCATTTGGTTAATATGAAGTCAAACAAATTTTAAAGAAAAGGAAAGTGATAACAAGTGCCTCTAAACGTTGCAAATATGCATGCACATAGCGACAACGGAATCCTGCCGTATGGTGAGGCGGTGTACAATGTGCCGGTGTACAATTGTGTTAACATTTTACTTCTTTCGAATACTTAAAATTTGCGACAATTTTAAGTATTAGTAAAGTTGTGTAAATCATTTTAAGGAGAATTTATGGTTTAAGTCCATAATGAATTTTTACCTTTATAGTAAAATTTAACATCAAACAATCAGGGTATTCTTCTGCAAGTCTGTAAATAAGTGATCTCCAAGTAGGATGTTGAATCATTTCTGTTAACCAAGCAGGAGTCTGATGCCCAAGACATTAAATTTTAAATATTAACTGAATTTTAATTGTTAACCCAACATTCAATTAAATTTTTAAAGACATACTTCACCCTCCTCTGTAAAGATTTTATCTGCTTTTTTAGGATCAAATGTTTTCAATATCATATCTTTTAAGTTATTTTCCACCATAGCTTGAACATCTGAAACTTTAACTCCAGCCAGAATAAGCCATTCTGCAAGAAGATTTGCCATTTGAGCACAAGCTGTATAATTTTTAGATAATAATTCTATTACTTGCTCAGGAGTTCCACCAGCTTGAAAATATCTATAAAGTAGAAAAGAATAATGATGCATTATGATATAAATGGTTTTTTTAAATATTTGAAGTGCTTGAATAGTTAATAACATTGAAAGTATGACTTCCATATTCGTTCATCTAGCTGTAATTTATAGTATGACAAAATTAAAAATATCTGTATACAATTTATGTAACTGTTAGAGCTGTTTTAAAATAAACAACAACTAAACAGAAAATTGTTATATAAACATTCTTAAAACACTATTAAAAGATAAATAAACAAATATGTTTTTCCATTGTAAATCTGTTATAAAATGTTATGTTATTATATAATTCTTGAAATATTTTTAACCTTTTTAGCTACAATCAAACAGATATTATTACTAAACATCTACTTTGAAATTAAACAACACTTATTTAAAACATATGTTTGAATTATTAAAAGTACAGAAACTATTTAAGGAATATAATAAAAAAATAATTAATATTTTGCTTGCAGTTAATCTTAAGACTATTATTATAGATTACTTTCGTAATCAAACTAATACAACTTTATGAGAAAGAGGCTTTAAGATACAGAAAACTTTCAAAATACTTTCTTAATGTATTTCTTTTTTGACATTAAAGGAATAATGTCAAAAAATACTCAAAAATTATCATTGTATTTATATCTATCAGTAAATGTTAATATTTATTCATAGATAAGTCAATCACTGCAATATTCATAAAATATTATGCTATACCTTTTAAGTTGTGCAAAAATACCAGGCTCCATAATATAATCTGGTGTTTTAAATTTATCTAAGCATTCATTTAATATTTCTTGAGGATTATCAAAGCTATCTTCTCCTCCACAGTCTTCAGTTCTTGTCATTTCTTCTGTCCAAGCTCCACGATCTTCATCATAATCTGACTCCATTATTCCTAAAAAGTAATATATTGATAATTTAATATGTATTCTATACATTGAATACCTAATATGTACTTTTAAAATGATTTATTACTTAATTAAAATAAACATAAAGAAACATTACATGAAAACATTTAATAGTATTAAAGTATTTATAAATTTATATCATGTTATAAAGAATAATTATCAAAAGAAAATCCAAATAATTTTAATTTTCTTTCAATGACAAAAAAAATTAGGTTTATAATTTGTCATAAATATGACAAACTGGTATTAAAGAAATATTTTGAATTTACATTTTTTAAATTTGTGAAAAAGGAAATTATTTGAACTTGTATACTTCTATGTAATTTTGAATATTACTATATTGCTTATTGCTAAATTTGTTTTGATAGTTACTTTTAGATAATATGGAACTGATTTTTTATTTTTCTAAATGCTTTTTCACTAAGATGGATTACAATCTTCACAATAATTACAAAAGTAATTTCTAAAATTAATTTTTTTTCACTTTTTTAATGTGAAGAATATAAATATTTTGTAGGTACATATCTTGTAACTTATAAAAATTATTCTAAGATTCATTTGGTTAAAACTTATATTTTTGTATTAAAATAACTGAAATAAACATTAGTTAAATAAACTCAAAATTTTATAATTATTTTGTTCTAATGTTTAAATATGTATAATCTTTGTATTATTATGTAAGGTAATAATACAATCATGTATTAATATTTAACAGCAAAACTTAAAATAATTACAGCAGCATATTAATTAACAATAATATTGCAGAAGGAAAGCTGATATGTTACTAGCTTAACTATATTAATGTATTTCTGTATAAATTATAGTTAAGATATGTTAGTTGTGAATAATGTATGAAATGACGTGCTAAAATAATTTGTTACTTTCGTTAAAAAATTCTTTAATAATGTAAAATGTTTTACATTTCTCAATAAAAATTACTTACTTTCAAATTATTAATGCAAATTTAACGCACAAATGTTCTTATGTATTTTATAAACACTTTTAATATCACCTTTCATTTTTTAGTACAACGTAATAGTTTTATCAAAGAAAGTGTGTCATTTCTTCATATTAAACGTGATAATATAAAACTTATTTTAATTAATAATACCTACTTTGATTAATAATAAATATATATGTATATTGTAATGTTCCTTAGTCGTTTGGACGGCGACACCTACAACTTGAGTGATTAAAGTGGCTGCCACCAGGCGTCACGAGCCATTTGCGTTCCAAAAAAATACTAGATAAGCAGGATAACGTCTCTAGGGTAATTAAATTAGAAGTTTTAATTTAACTAATAATAGATCCTTACAGTTTATAACAAAAATATTAATATATATAAGTATACAACAAAAAATATAAAAATACAGTTCAAAATTCACTGACGCCCGCTGTTAATCCGAATAAATCGGCGTCTCATCAAGGAAGAATGAAAGATGCTACCAACGCGCGCAGGTACCCCACGCTACGCAGATGGCGTGACGGAAGCTTACTTAGTGGAAAGCGTATGCGTCACTCATACAATATTAAAGACTCTATACGCAAATGTTTGTTACAGTCTTAGGAATACATTATTCTATTTCATGTATAATATTAGCCCGAGGCGTCTGGGCTAAGTTTCGTCTGCATCAGTCTTATTTGATAAGTCTAGTAGACGGACCTGAAACTCTGTGACGAAACGCTTTTATTTTTCTTTCAACCTCCATGTGTCTGCTCTCTGCGAACAGTAGCTGAACGCACGAGTTGATAGGCCGGAGATAGGGCACAATCCCAATGTGCACCCTCCTATAAAAGAGTACTTCGAAATCTCACCAAGAAAGACCTAAGACGTAGCTATCCCGAAGTCTAAGACTAACAAAACTGTAGATAAAGGGTAAATAAATAAACAAATAAACAATTGTGACGTCTACGCTCATGCAAACGAGCCACGAGTTCACACTCTGCGATTCTCGTGCAAATTCATCCTTCTAGTTTTAACGCACTTACTCATACCACAGACGACATACAGGATAAACCTTGCATCTTATGGGACTTTTTGTGCGGGGCTTTGGGACCAAGAAAACCCTTAGCATTTTCGTGTCGCTATCAACGTTACCGATTCAGTATAGAATAAGATTACAACATTAGTAGTGGTTGAAATTGGAATTAAACGTAACTATGAAATTACAAATAAGAAAGTAACATAATTGTTTATTAGTAGATGATTTAATATATATATATATATATATATGTATTTTTATATGCAAATTTAACAAAAGAGGATTTTTTACATCTGTCGACTTTACCATCTTTTATGGTTGGATTGTATGTAATTCCTAAACTCATCGTTTTATATCGTAGAAGGCATAACAGAAACTCTGATTTCTTTTAACGATCGGTATTTCAGAACATTGGACACAAAAATATATTAGTCATTATTTTGACCACGAATTTTCTAATAGCTAAAATCTCGATTTTATATTAAGCGAATACGATGTGATAGGAAGTCGTTTCTTGGAAATGACGTCAATTTCTGGAAATATCACCGATTCCTGGAAATGATATCGATTGTAGGAATTCCCGAGAACTGTAACACGCGAATACTAAGTCTACATTCTTGACGGTATTTTCGCGCAGGGAAAAACGTACGTGACAATTCCGCATAATGGAAAAACAATTGAAGGACGATTAGTGAATAAGAAAATAACGATAATATTTGAGCTTATTACTTTAGATGCTTCCGAGGATTTCGTCACTACGTCGGTCACTTTTATATACAAATTACAATTTAACAGTAGGCTAAGGTCCTTATCGCATGTTACAATAGGTACAAGCTATATTTAAATATAATGTAAAATTATGATTATGATTATGTTTGGTTCGCTATGAATATTTAAGTATATGGGTAAATGTGTTGAGACTAGACTAGGGAAGTGGATTCACATGAAATTCACAGAATGCGAACCTTATGGTTGGTTTGCACGAATCGCAGAGCGTGTACGTCACACTATATCCTTTTGAGAAAATGTGAACAATTTGTTCTTAATCAACAGTTAAATGAATTGTTAAGCGACATTTTAATTTACTTAATATCTAATAATAGAACATATGTAACTGAAAGTAATGTAAACCATCCTTATTGAAAACTTACGCTTCAATTCGCTTAATGTGTATTTGTGAACAGCATTTTTACGGAAGTACAAAGTTGTATTGAACGTTTACGTTGCATATCGTACGCAGTGTAATTTCACATATTTTTTCAACTTATATTGGTGTTTGATTTTCTTAATAGTTATAAACGTTAAGTTCTTAGTGTTTTTTCTTTGTTTCCAATAATAAGGAATTCTCAATGATGACGAAGTTTTTACTGCTACTCTGCTTTACTGCAGTCCACGTTCTGGGTATGAATCTTCAAATATTTGCAGCTTTTATTCTTCTTGTAGATGACAGTTGAAAATTGTTTGTGTACTGCAAAATTATATTTTTTATTCGTACCTTTCTCTATACGACATAAAAGCATATTTTTATTGTATTTTTCTTGATAAATTCATATTTTGCAATTATATTGTTTAATTATGATTTTGTTATCTTTGTTTCACATTATCTTTCTAGTATATTGAAGGGACTATGTACAATGTGGCTTCTAAAAAGATACTCTATATATAAATATTAATTAATCATATTGAATGAAATGCATATACAAGATGCTAAATATTTCTACTGCAGCAGTTATTATAAATATGAATTTAATGTAACATTGTAGCATATTTTTGTACATTTTGCAACTAATAATTTATATTACACTTTACAAATTAATGATTTTATTTTATTAAACATATTTAATAAGAAACAATAGTTTTGGAAGTTCGAACTTATAAATATTATTTTGACACATTGTTGTTAATATCTAGGTATTGAATGAAAACTGATATTAAAAATTAAAACAAATTACTTATTGTTAATGATAGATATGTAATATATAATTGATTATTTGAAATTTATGCTATTTTTATTATGTAAAAATATACTTAGTAGTTGTGCATATAATTCTCAAAGAAAATAATAAATCTTATCAAACCTAAAAAATATTTAATGCTAAATAACTTAATATTTAAAAAAAATTTTACTTTTAAGAAAAATTTTATCAAAGTAAATACTAGGTGAAGCAATTACATTAGAGTAAAGAAATTTACATCCTTTTTGATGAACCTATTTGATTTTATTGTTTACTACAATATGGCATAATTTTAGGTGTAAGTCAGAATGATTCATTATGTATCCTAATGATAATTGTACCTAATGATTCTATTGAGACTACTGATCTAAAATTCTTTAAATAAATTTTAAAAACAAATGTTAACATTTTAATGATAATGCTTTGAATATCTTTCATAATATATTATGTTAACAATGCATTAAATGCGTACATTTTCTTGGAAGAAAATGATTAAATTAAAATTTTGTTTTCGTATAACTTATAATATTACAAAAGGGATCAATATTAAAACTTAAATTATAATAAATTGCTACAAATAATTTATAAAATAAAACAAGAGTGTTTTAAAAGAAGCTTTAAAATTAAATGGCATTATTTTTAAAAACATTTTATTTATACTTATAATGCAACGTAATGTACAATTCTGTAATGATAATAAAATAATTTTATTTGAATATTTCAATGTTTAATTTTTAATGTAAAGTTATGTTAATAATTTGATTGTAAATAGCTATACTTATGGATGTTAAAAAATATACAGGATGCTTCTCAATTCTATACATAAAATGTCAAAAATATACCCTAATATGTAACAGTTAAATATGACAATTTGTGCTCAAGTCTGTTTTTTCAAATCAAATATTAAATTTTTGTTTTGTTCAAATACAGGGTAGACTGTTTATCTTTGCTATATAAAGTATTTTTGTTGTTTTTAAAAGTAAGATAAAGTATCTTAAGTAGAGTTATTTAATTTAAAGGAAGCATGTTAGTAAAATACTTTTATTAAAGTAAATTTTTTGGGATTTAAATATCATAGTTGTTTTGTTTAATATGACCTACTTTCTATCATATTACAAAGCACGTTGTGACAGATTCATTTATATGGAACTTTTGCAACTTTCGAATAACCTTGAATACAAAAAATTTCATTTTCGTTATTTTGAACGTATTTCCTAAGGTAGAAAGTATATTACTATTTAATTATCGAAGCAGACTTTGTTTCGTATTACAATTGTTTAAAATCTATAATTTGATGTATTTACAACAATATTCATGTAGAGGGTATAATATTAGGTAAATAATATTATTTGTCTATATGTATTACAATGAACACAGCAGCATAAATTAAAACGCTCTTAGTATTTACATTTCTTAGAAACTATTTTTGTTGTGCATTGCCTACTAGCTCAATAGTTTCTAAGATGCTTGAAGCCCAGGGTAGCAACTTCTAGCATTTGTTATAGTAATAAAAAAGGCAGTAACTATTCTTATAAGCATATTGAATTATGAATTTTGCACTATTTTCATATGAAATAAGATCTACTTTGATAATTGAATAACAGTATACCTTTTATTTTGTGAAATATGTTGAAACCAACAAAAACACAACTTTTAATACTCAATATCATTCAAAAAATTTAATGAACTAGGAATCTCAAAAAAATTACTTTAAGAAAGGTGTTCTATCAATATGCATCCTTTTGGACCAAATAATTTTACTTAAGACATTTTATGCAGCAGAAATATTTTAGGTGCTGAAGCCAAATGAATCACATTGTTTATTGAAAAAAATGTTTCCAAACTGTAATGTTTATATAATTCGTATTTTTATTTCTTTATTGTAAATGCCTGTTGTTGTTACTGAATGAAGAGTT